AGAGAGAGAGAGAGAGAGAGAGAGAGAGAGAGTGTGAGAGAGAGAGTGTGTGCATGCATGAGGGTGTGTGATGTGAGGTTAAACTCTGCCTCGTTGTCTATTAGCAGCATTGACAGCTTAGCCAGCACATTCTGTCTCTGCCCTCTGCCTGTAATAACCTGGCCTGTTACAGCCATCCACGGCCCAGCGTCAGAGTATATTGTTAGGTGATTGGAATTGGGCAAGCATGAAATGGAAGTCACGTTAATATTGATCCTAGTGTTTAACGGGGTGTTTTACCTCCGGGTGTCCTTGCTGTCTCATTTCAGGTGAGCGGCTTCTCTCAGAGCTGATTGCCCCGGGCAGAGATCTTTATGGCTCTTTAGAGGCACTGCTCTCTGGATGTGATTTTAACCTTCTCCAGCTTTATAATCAAAGATATTAAACTGTGACAAATGTAATCAGCACATTTTCTAACATGCAATGCCGGGCATATGAATGCAGCCTCTTAGTAAAAAAAAAAGTTGTATTAGTCAATTTATTGAACATGTTAGAAACAAAACAAACAATAATAATTATAATTATAACAAAGAGAAGCAAAATAAGAAAAACGTTCAAGATGTAAAAAAAAACGCTCTAACGTACATTCTTCATGAAAATCAAAGTTTAGGTCATCGGCATCCGTGATATTTGATTCATTGTTTTAAGCAAATAATTGTTTTCTACAAAAATTACTTTTACAACGACAAGAGCATCACTTCACAGATCCTGCTCATAACCATTCAGGATTTGTACATTATGATACACTCAGAAATGGATTTGCTGTGTGACATTCTGGTCCAGATATGTGGACAATTAAACACTGCTGTTTAGGTTTTGATTGAGAGAAGATGAGGCTGTTTGTAACCTCTGGCAGCACAGAAGACACGCACTGCACATTTCAGGATATTGAATTAAGATCATCCCAAGTGGAAGCGTCTGCACTGTATAAACTCCCCTACATCAAAGTTATAATGTTTACTTTTATAGTCTCAAAACACATACTCCGCAAAACGGATGGCTTGCATTACAGGAAGTATGAAGTTGTCATTTTTTCCCCCTCATTTCATCTTTCAGTGCTGAGTAAATAAAAAGGGAGAGACAGAGGGCAGAAGTGCATCGCTCTAACGGTAATGCAATCCCATGGACTGGACTTTTTCTCTCCATGTGGAATGTGGAGCCGTTGAGAGGGAGCGTAGGAGGGCAGGATTTGAAACAGATAGAGTCTGGGAAACGGAAGAGATATATTTAAAACATACTATAGAGCTCACATTATATGTATGACTGCAGTCACTGCAAACAACTGATGTACATTATAAGATAGTGTAGTAAATAAGCTTTGGAAGCGAGGGTTACACTAATGTGTGTGATCTATAGAGATCTGACAGAAAGAGACATAAAGCAGAATCATTCCTGTGAAAGCCCCAGAGTTTTAGCTCTCTTCTCAAGTCATTGTTTAGAAAAAGGTTGAGATAGCTGTGTGTCTTAAGCTGTGTCCAAACTGTTGCCTGTCACATCAATAGACAAACATTCGGTGATTTCTACAAGAGGCATTTTAGCTTTCCAGCATTATCCAGATCTTGCTTTGCTTATCCAACCTCTCAAGTGAGCAACAAATAAGTATTTTGTGTTGTATTTAAGTTGTGTATATTGAATTACCCAAAGTATTTGTGCAATCAGCTTCAGAAGAGAAAAACCCAATACACTTTACTTGAACTTAAGTGGAACATTGTGTGGATTCTCTTTGAGGAGTGGCAGTGAAGTGGTTGAGGCAGGGTGTATAATACATAGGAGACTTAGAAAAAGTCATGCTTGTATGCTCTACTGGGGCTATAAAAATGAAAGGCCTATGCCACAAAACTGTCCAGCGTTGAAGTACATGGAGAAACATGGACCCTTGGCAATGGTATTATAGTCAACCATATTTTATAGGCCCTTCAACTCTTATCTTTTCCATGCTGAATAGATTAACTGCAAAAGCCAAAATATATTTTTTGAATTGCAAATCTGTGCCTATGATAATAGCGTATTTAAATCAATTTAGCGTGTTCGGAGAAGGACACATTTACTCGATGCCATCGCTCTTGGATGTATAAATTATGTATTTCTATTTATAACAGTAAAGACACAGTGAATAATACTCTTGAATTATCTGGAAAACAATGTTATCTCCCCTTGGTCACACATTTTCTGGGACCAGTTCCTGTTCCAACAGGAATCACATCAGATTAAAGATGTAAAAAGCATTAAACATTTGATAGCATTTATAAAAAAAACTGTTGCAACCCCCTATTTTTTATGTTTTTGAAGAATAAGTTGCATTATAAATCAGTGTCTAAATAATACAGTTTAGTTCTAAGTTTTAGTTTGTCAAATGACTATAAATCAACTGAAACCAGTGTCAGTAACTGTAAACACTTTATTAGGTCTTTCCTGACTCTAGCATGAAACTTAACTGCGGAATTATTTATTTTTTATTTTTATCAAGATTCATTGGTTTAAAGGTAGACATTTTTAACGTGGGGAAAATAGTTGGGAGACACCCTACAAGAAACTCATGAGGACTATGGATCCTTGTTGAACCCCATGAGTGCTCGGGGCGTCCTCCATTGGTCGCAGCTGGCAGGTCTTCATCAGCCTCCATTGGGGTCATGAAAGCTCTGAAATGCACTTTACTGAGTGTAATTAGTGCACTTTGAGGCAGTTTTAACTCAGTGATTGAACAAGAGGACCCATGAGAGTGGTGATCAGTGGCTTCTTCTGGCACTGTTCTTGAAGGCCTGGAGAGTATACATGAAGTGAAACGGCTGTGAGATGTCAAGAAGCCAACTGCAGTGGCTTCCTTAGTAAGGTCAATTACAAAGGTGTTAGTTGACACATTATAGGCAACATTATTTTCCTTTCTTATATACATGTAGAAGAGTTTCAGCCTCAGTTGGAATCCTGCAGCAGGCAATGATTGGATATGTACATAGTATCTACCTCAGACTGCACTTGTCTCTATTTTTTGGACTCAAGGTCATACATATGAGTAATATTTCAGATATTTGAAAGGGTCATTCTCTTTGTTTTGCCATTAGTGGTCAAGGGTGAACACGTGAAAAGGCGTGTAATGAGTCTACCACGACAAGATGGCACAGCAAGTCCTTTAATCGTGACAAATGGTGCACTTTTAATACAAGACTGTCCAGGGGCTATCACTCACGCGAAGATCACTTTTCATGTCGGCACATTTTCTCCCTCATGCCATAGCTTCTCATTTCTTGTTATTTATGTATAACCACATTACTTTGTATGTTGGAAAAAACTGCATTGTGGGTAAAGCCCCCATCCCTCCAAGCTTTACCCCCCCACAACAGTTGATGTTGGTCATTGGCGTGTAGAAATCAGCATGGTTTATTTGTTCTACTCAACCCTGTACAGACTTGCCAATCAGAACATCAGCCTGTGAGCTGTACTTTCTCTCATGTTCTTGGAGCGTAATGATGGTTTACAGAATTAAAGTTTTAAGTTTCACTTCTTCTGCTTTGATCTCTGACCGCTGGCTGGCTTTTTCCTCTAACATTGCACAGAATTCATTTCCGAAACGCACAGACTTCTTCCCTCCGTCTGATGAAAGCACTCCAGATATGAGACAGAGCAGGAAGCAGACATTTTTTCTCAGTAGCAGTGTTGACAACAGTCAAATGTGACCTCTTCAAGACAAGGTACATGTTCCTCAGGGGAGAGAGAGAGGAATTAAGAACTGTGCTGAAAGGAAACATGTCAGGCGGGTGTCAGCCACCTCCCATTTCATGATATGTGTTCCCTTCTTTCTTACACGCAAGCTTCTCCTCTGGTTATGTCCTACATTGGTCTTCAGAAAAACAAATTCACATAAACGTTCCGAGCAGCCGTGTGGCAGGCACATGTTGGAGATGGGCTGATTCAAGCTGATAAATGTATTGTGAGGCCTCTTTGTTTTGCAGGATGTACGAACACATCTTTTTCAATGAGTATGCTCCACTATAGCCATATGATGCTCTCCTGGTGTAAGCAGCTTCCTAATTGTCCTGTCTGTTCAGTCTCACTCTTGTCAAGTCTCCAAAAGCAGCAAATGATATCTCTAATCGACTACGAGCTTGAGATGTATCCCCCTACTCAGCTGTTGGTCTTTCAAGATGCAGATAGTGTTTCATATTTGACCTTGTCTAAAAATAAAAGCTGAAACACCTCTGATGTTCAACCATGCAAAATATGTTTTATTCAGTGAACAAACGTGTGTACCCTGACATTCTTTTATAAGCTATGGCAAGTACATTAGAGAGCACCTCAGATCAGGTTCAGCCTGCATATATTATCTGTTTCAAGCAGAGATTTTCTCTATGATAATTTATTTTTATATATTTGACTGGATGATACATTTTAATAGCTTTTTAAAAAGAGGATATTTTTAGTTTTAACTTGAGGATGTGCTTAAATCTTATTATGATAAAACATTGTACGGTTATTTTGAGGTTATTGCATGGCTAAAATTAGTTATTGTTCCTTCAAATGTAATCTAAAATCAGTATGCTGTTACATTATTCTCTTATTAAAAGTGTTATATGATTGTATGTATGTCAGTGTCATATTAAATTGAATTGCCCTGCATTACTTTCGAAACGTTTCTTTACTTTTGCTTGCCAAACCATTTGATACTTACGAGATATTACAGTATCGCTAAACAACAGCGTATCAATGGAGACTGCGATAGTTAGTGGAAAATCTGAGCTATGGGTCAGAGTGAAATACTACTCTTCCCAACATTTATTTCGACAGGCACAGAGGAGGACGAGGTGGTCAAGTCTAAGAAAGTCTTCCGCATCCAAACCGTGGCCAGCCAGAACCCCGAGACGGAGCTGATGCTGGAGGGAGACGAAGATGCCGTCAGCCTGCTGCAGGAGAAGGAGATGGACAACATGGGCGGTAAGTCAGCACAGCAGCACCTCCATTAACCCGAGAACACATCGCCTCTGTTGGAGAATCTGCCCTTATCTTCCATCTGTCTTATTCCTAATCACTGGTGTAGTTACAGTGAGTGCACATTTAATGTCTGGGCATCAAGTGTTTCGGATCAATGTGGCTTTAACTGGTTTAGCAACAGTGCAACCAAAGGCGGAAACTTTGAGATATTTGGCTACTATTAAGTATTCAAAATATATCTATGTAATGTGTTTGAAATCACAGATTGCATTTTGCAGTTCAACATTAGTTTAGTTCTTGAGTGAAAGACTATGACTATGTGTTTTTAACTGGACAGCTTTGCTCTGGCTTAACTGCTATATTTTGTTTGGATCTCAGCACAGTGCCTTCCTTAAATGTTATCTCCAGACGCAAGCCTATTAAAGTTAGATTAACACTGGAAAGATGAATATTCCAGATATATCTCATCCTAAACATCTTATTGAGGAAATCAAAAATCCATGATTAATTACTTTACTGCTTGCTAAAATGTATTTAACAGTGGCCATATTTAACCTGTCACTTGAACCTCAAGGCAAGGTCAAGACATTCATGAACACTTTTTTGTCACTTAAAGATTCACTTAAAGCATTGTGTTTGGTTCAAGTTACTTACTAGAGCACTATTAAATACAGGACAGATGAATGTCCTATGGCACTATAGGGGCCACTACACTTGAAAAGGCTATAGTAAAAGTGTATGTTATGTGAGTAATGAGAGCTAAGAGGCAAGATAGCAAGACTTTGTCACACAATTTCTTGAAGAACATAAATGTATTGCTATAAGTGAACATCTTTTGTAGAAATATCTTAAAATCAGATGCTACATTTCCTTACTCTGTATCAAAATAGCACACTCATAATCCCTCTGCTAAAATATTTTTAACATAATGAATCATCAATCTTTTTGAAAGTTAGAAATGATTTTCTTAATACAACCCTATAAAAATGTATTTTTCCACTAAATATATAACTATTACAATTAGATGAAACATTTGAAATGTCATCAATCATCAATTAAAATAATTGTACTTCAACAAACATTGCCAAGAAAACGCCAAATGTTTTGTGTTGTCAGTGTGGATGTGAGCATGTGGATAAAGGTCCCATGTCATGGCCATTTCTACTGATCATAATTCCATTGTTGAGGTCTACTAGAATAGATTTACATTGTGCAATTTTCCAAAATCACATTGGTTTCTCATACAGTATCTCTGTATAGTATCTGTATTCACTCTCTGTCCTAAACGGCTTGTTGGAGCTCCTNACTGCTGCACAGAGCGGCTGAGGTTTCACTACAGATCATATCCCATGGGTCATTCTGCCTTCAAGACGCTAATGTCTGCTTAAAAAGTAGCAGGCTGCTGTAATCTTTAATGTTTAAGAGAAATTGTTTCCTATCCAAATATATATATTTGTTGTATTGCTGTCATTATCAGATAGGACGGGCCTATAGTTGAACTCCTGTTCCTTAGAAAGGGTTAAGGCTGAACAAAATCAGACTTATGGCCCAATTCCAAACTCCCCCTACCCCCTCCTCCTCAGTGATGGAGTCAACTCCATCTGTAGTCTGAACTCTGAGCTCCTTCTTTAGTCAGAGGGTGTAAATACAGCGGCACGCTTTGGGACGAGCTGCTACAATTTCTTTACAATCAGATGAACGTGTCTACAGGTTTTCAGACTAGACAGAGGTATATCATCCTAAGAAAAACATTTTTAGATATAAAGGTAGCCTTCAATTTGTTTACATGTCTATGTTGTTTTGCACAGTTTAATAGTAAATGTTTGCAACGATGTGTACACAGCACGTTGACAGTCACAAACAGCATTGCATTTGGTCAGGTAGGGTGCTAATTAGTTCAGGACCAATGCAGACTTCCTGTTGGACTTTTTAATAACTTCCTGTTGCAGTGTTTATAAACTTCCTGTTGGACAGTTTAATAACTCCCACTCTCTGCAAATTGGTTTGGAACAGAACTCAATGAGGCAAAACCTCCATGAAATGGTCACATCAATGATAGTGGTTACACTACACGTGTACATGTTTGTAGTCAGGCGGAACATTTAGCCTGATGGCTGTGCTTGAGAAAAGATGTCATATTATACTAATTTTCACGGTTCATATTTGTGTTTTGTGCCATCTCTGTTCTGATTTGTCAACCACTAGAGATGTCCCACCCCTTAGCCTATCATGTCCAATGTGTTGGAGCGCTAATCAATAAAAGCGCAAGTGTTGTGATGTCACTATGTTACGGAAGAAAACTAAGGAGTCCAATGATACTAGTCTTTATGCAATTTACTGGGGACATAAATTTTTCTGCTAAAACAATGTAACATAATGTAAAAAAAAAAGAAGCATAATAGGTCCCCTTTAAACCTTTGTATCAGTTTCATTGATGTTGTTTGGTGACATCACATATTTCACATCAGCGTGACCAAAGATATAATCAGCTGTGGTGGAGAAAACCTGTGTGGCTGTGCAAGGGACTTTAAAAAACGGTTGAAGATTCACAATAATCAAAATCAAAATGACACTGATTTCAGAAAGGACAGATTTTGGTTTCAAATGATCACATACCAAACGAAGGAGGACCGAATGCTACAGCTTGATTGTAAGAAGATGTTCCACTTTTTCCTAGCACATAGTGAGTGACCTGTCAGAACACAGGCAGAAGTATTTATCCCATTGATGACGTCACTCCTACAATAAAGCCCTGTCAGTGAGAGTAGCCTACAGAGGAAATGAATGTATTCATTAAAAAATCAACTTGTTTTATGTTAGATTACAATATGTATGTTATCATAATTAATTCTAAATTATAACGTTTTTTGTACTTTTAAGTGCGATTAACGTATTTGAAAATCTGTCAATTACTGGCCATTAGCATTACAGTGAATGAACAGTACCTAATTGAAACGCCACGTACAGTAAAGTTAGGGTGTCAGCCAGGTATAAGCTATAACGCCAAATGTAACATGTTACTGTACCAAAAGCTTTCGGTGCAAACTAAACTACCCGTCTTATTTGAATATGCAAAACTTCGAAATGTCTTACTCTCGCTACTCACCAACTCTGTCCTCTGCTCAGTAATGTTTCGGGAATGTTTGGAAAGCTACTTCCGCACTGCCTCAGCACAGTAGCAGGGTGCGCTTGTTTTGTGTTACAGCTAAGACAAGTAACGCTGCGATGGGCGGAGACAGAAGCTTCATTGACGCATAGAATGAAGTTTTAAAGCACCGCTCGGTGCAGAGATCTCAAACAATAAATCAAACCGCTTCAAACATGCTTAATGACTCCACGTCAAAGTCTGAAAGCCATGTGACCGTGTTGGAGAATGGCCGAGCAGGCGGTGACAGCGAGCGCAGGGTGAGTGTCTCCCTAACCAAACCTGTTTGTCAAGTAATAAAGGGAATATTAGCGATATTCAATGTCATATCTAAATTTGTTTTATTCTATACCTGCATAGTTAGGGTAGTCAAAGTCGGGGTACGCTAAATGTACTAACATCAACACCACACAACTTCCCTAAAGTTCAAGTTAATACTACACCCACACACACACACACACACACACACACACACACACACACACACACACACACACACACTGAAGACAAACTTGTTGTCAGATAGAACAAGAATTGGCCCATGCTGTACTTGGGTCTTCAACTTGAGTAAAAGTAGAAGTACCAGAGACTGAGTGTAAAATAACTGCAATCAAAATGTTATTCAAGTAAAAGTACAAAGGTATTAGCATCAAAATATACTAGTCATTGTGCATATTGGTCCATTTCAGAATAATATTATGATGTGTTTTATAATGATTGATCATTAAAGTGTTCTCAAAGCTGGTAAAGGTGCAGCTAGTTTTAATGACTTTGTATATACTGCTGGGTAGCTTGTGAATTTACTCCAGTTGTAAAGTCCGATTTAAGACTTGATTATATTTCACATCATTAATCCAAATCTGTAAAGTAACTAAAGGTATTAAATACATGTAGTGGAGTAAAAAGTACACCATTTACGTCTGAAATTTTTTGTGGAGTAAAAGTACAAAGTAGCATCAAATGGAATAATAAAGTAAAGTACAAGTATCTCAAAATTGTACTTAAGTACAGTACTTAAAATTGTACTTAAGTATGTAAATGCCAATGAGGTAATATTCATATTATATACAAATATGAATANGAGAGAGAGAGAGAGTACCGCGGATTGTTGTTGGATTGAGGCTGATAACTACAGCTCAGTGAGGTAAAGGACTCTGAGTGTTGAGATAGTTCACTTTAGTCTAAGTTATCTCAGTGGGTCTCAAACGGTTTGGTCACAATTTATGTAAACACATATTTCCAAGGCACACGTTTATAATTATTGGGATAAACAGGTTTGAAATCATTCCAATGTATACTATAGGACAGTAAACCAAAAATATCATTTAAAACTGGAAATATTAAAAATATGCATGAATAAATAAATGTTAACTAGGTAAAATAAGATATGAATGAACAACAAAAATGAAATATGTTACATGTATTTGTTATTGGCTGTGGGTTATTGGTTATGTTCACATACTTATTTGATTATTAAAATGTAAACTGATCTTTTTCATATGGGTGTTTAAAGTTGTACCCCCTGGATCTAGTCTCTAGTAATTCCACTCAAAGTGACCAGATTTTACTTTAAAATGTTAAAATAAATCTTTGCAGGGGGCCACACCCGCCTGGAGGATGTGACGTCCACCCCCCAATTAAAACATGTTCATACAATACTGAATACATTTGAAACCTTCTTTATGTATATTACATAATCATAATCTCGCCTGGGGCACCAAAATGTCTAGAACCGGCCCTGAGTAAAACTAAATTGAATGTTGTACATGCTGCTGTAACAAAAGCATTTCCCAACTTGGGATCAATAAAGTATATCTTATCTTAAGATGATCGATGGCTAATGCCTCTGAACCTTGACAAGTGCATGTTTCAGGCTTATCAATGAAC